GAAAATTAATTTCGGCCTGACTCACTTACCTGTCTCCAGTGGAGTCGCCAAGTTGTTGCAGTCGTCTTTCGATTGGGCCCAGAATTGGCTTCGACTTGAATAATTGGGTTAGAGTCGCCACCGATCATTTTAAAATGATATTTAGGTAGATCGAACACCATCTTACCTGATATGCATTTTACCAGAAATGTCGGGTTTGGGAGTCGGTTATGGTTAAGGAAGGATTAGCACCCTTGAACCATCCTTTCGGTACCAATTAATTTGTCGGTTGTCTTTAATTGTGAAAATTAAAAATTTAAATTGAAATTTAAAAACCCGATTCAAATTACTTACCTTTAATTTGTTGGAATTCTTAAAAAGAAAGTCAAAAATGTTAGATAAAAAACTAAATAAATATTAAATAAATCCAAGAACAAAAACAAAATAAAAAATAAAAATAAATGAAATACTAAAATAATAAATCAAAGGGAAAAATAAAATAGAAAAATAAATAAAATAAAAAAGTCAAAAGGAAAAAAGAATTGAAAAAAAATTAAAAAAAGAGGAAAAAATAAAAAAAAATGAGAAAACAAAAATAAAAAGAATAAGTCAAAAGAAGAATAAATAAAAATAGATACAAAATATAAAATAATATAATAATATAATAATAGTAATAAAATAAATAAAATAGGTGAATAGAGATAAATAAAATTTAGTGAGAAAAATAATAATAATAATAATAATATTGAAATAAAATAAAAAAAATAATAAATAATAAAGAGTTAAATATTGAAGAATAAAAAAATGGAAGACATGTTACGAAAATAAATAATAATAAAAAACCAATAAAAATATAAATAAATAAAAAGGGATCAAAATGTGAAAAATAATAAATTCACAATCCGAAATAAAGTATTCGAAATAAATTCAATGGCTAAAATAAAAAAATGCGACTTACAAGGATTAAGAGTGGGATTTGCCCGCTCACAAATTACACACAAACCCCCTCCCCAAAACGATATCGTATGGGGAAGTGTATTTAAACCCCTAAAACCGGCCTTCTAAGGCCATTCCCCCTCATTTCAAAATTTTTTTCTCTCTCTACACAGAGAGAAAATATTTTCTCTCGCTTCTCTCTAAAGCCCCTCACCGGAGGGAATGGCAGACCACCGTCGACCTCCGCTCCAGCCGCCACCGCTGGCGGCCAGAAAAAATGAAACTTCTCCAAAATAACCCCTTTACAACCTAAATAAAAACCCGAAGCCCAAATTCCCAAAAAACCCCTGAATCTAGGTTTAAAGTTCTGATTTTTACCCTTAACCTTTCTTATTTCCGGTGACCCCTCCTCTTCCGACGAGCACCACGACCGAAGCCTCTCTTGTGCGAGTGGTTTTCTTTGTGATTTGTATATTTGATTTTTTTGTGAAGTGTAGTATCGACTTGTATGGGATTTTTTTGTGATTTCGTGGGTTGTTGTGCTTGGTTTTGGGTTTTGATATGGTTGGTTTCATTGTTGGCTTGTGTTTGGTATATGGTTGTTCGATGATGTTTACTGCTAGTTCTTGTCGTGTTCGATGCTAGTGTTGGTGCTATGTTGTCACCGTTTTTGTCCTTGGCTCGATCTGTGGTGGGGTATTTATACCCACCACCGATGCCCCTCTATTTCGATTATCATGGTAACCAACCCGTCGTTGGCCAAGGATTTCGGGATGGGCTAGTCTCGATTCCCTTGGCCTGAAATCTCGGCCGGTGTGATTCTGGTCGTTTGTGAGTCTTCTTGGTTTGACCACCATGCGGCACTAACGTTTGGGTTCTAGAAACCCTAATCTGCTAGGTTCACTGGGTCGGGTTTAGTGGCCTTCTGGGTCATGCGGGTCAGAACCTTGATCTGGGCCCATGCCCATTTGGACCTTTGTTGGACTTGGACTTGGAGTTATTGGACCCTGGACCAGAAAAATAAAATAAATTAAATTAAATTAAATTAAATGAATAAAATAATAATAATATACTAATAATAATACAATATAAACTATATAATATATATATTTCAAAAATATTTTTAAACTATATATTATATTTTTTTAAAAAAAGTTTTCAAAACTATATATTATATAGTTTTCAAAAAAAATTATATAAGTTTCAAAAAAATATTTTTTAAACTATATATTATATAATTTTTCAAAAAATGTTTTTAAAACCATATATTATATATTTTCAAAATGTTTTTTTAAAAAAATATATATATTATATAATTTTCAAAATGACTTCAAACTATATAATATATATAAATAAAATAAAAAATACGGACGAAAATGAGTGTCTACACATTCTAAATATATCAACTTACTTACCCCACAATCCATATCGACGGCAGCCCTAATTATTCTACCATTCAATGGATCGAGTTTCTAAATATATGGTGTAACTCATATTGCCCATTAAAAAAGTTTTATTTGGATTTCTAGCCTTTTCTCTTAGTGGTACAATGTTCACGTTTAAAAGAATAAATAACTGGTGAAGTTGGAAAAACAACTGACTTTTAAATTGGACATTTAATAACACTATGGAGGAATGCATCGCTGTTAACTGTAATACAAGCGTCAACATAAATACTAACAAATTTGCAAATAAAAGAAGAAATACCAACTCATTAACATATTCTGCAAATGCCCCATTTTAAACAGAAAAAAAAAAGTTGTTTTAAAAAAATAATACTAATCATTAATTGTTAGAGTAAGCCCAAAGACTAATCATGTGATGATTATATTGACATACTTTATTTACCGGATTTATTGAATAAAGGCATTACCGTTATTTTTTAGTTATATTTTCGTGTAATAAATAAACTAAAAATAATAATGTCCATATAATAGTATGATTATTATTGAAAGATACTTAGTCAAGTGTTATTATGAGCATTGACAATAATAATACGTTTAAGGCTAATATCTTGTTGATTGATGATAATGAGTTGTCATTGACATAAAGATGTCACAATCAATGCATGAATATGTTGTTAGAGAACAACATATTGGATTGACCTCGCTATGAGCATATGTCTTAGATTATTGTATGACGGTCACAACATTGCTCATGGTGGTGACTACATGTATAATCCTCAGACTTGAAGTCATTACTATCTCAACATATATTATCGTGTGTTTTGATACAATCAAACTTATTACGTAACTAGTTGTATTATAAAGATTGATATTGAACATATCATGATATAAGTATTGGAGTGTGAATGATCAAGATATGATTTATCCCTCTTACATAATAGGAGTTATATCACCTGCCACTTGATAGAGTGAGACGAGAAATGCCTGGTTAAGTTCGAACATGTTAATATAAGATGTCATAAGTTGTTTGTTTATTATAGTCCACAACATATAAAGGAAAAAAGAATATACTATATAAATGAGTTAATCACGAAGAGGTTATGTCGAATCATGACTTCTTGTAACTTAGATGACCATGATATATTGCTAGATGTCACTCATTGTTTGTAATATTAGAATGATTCTAATATTACTACTAACGTTATAAGAACTTACATGGTCACACCCCTAGATTGAGATAAACAAATAATGAATGAGTTACACATGTACAATTTTATTGTAAATGAATAAAATGTATGATTTACATTAATTAATTAATTAATATATATATATATATATATATATATATATATATATATATATATATATATATATACTTAACATGCTAAATAAAATATTAAAAAGGATATAATTAGAGTAATTATATTTATTTTAATAAAACTCAAAATTAAACTCTAACGTTTAGGGCAACAACATTATAAAAAGAAAAGAATGGTCTAACAGCCATTTTTACTCTTTTTACGTTTTCCTCAAAATAATTTTGGGAAAAGAAAAAATTTGCTCAACTGGGTGAATTGAGTAGAGGCCGAGATATTTTTTGTGGAGGCTTAAGATTCGATTTGTTTGTGATATGATTGCTGATTTGCTGTTATTCTAGGAACTCCAGGTGAATTTCGCATCATTTCCTCCTGAAATCGTTTTTCGTACTTGGATTATTGATGAGACCATCTAATAATTTTTTCACTGCATCATGGGGTATACCGACGATCTCAATACTAATATATTCAAAGAAAAGCAAGATGGGGCCATTAAAGGAAGCCCAAATAATATGTTAACAGGGTCAGGTCTCAGCCCGATGTGTTCGGGTCGGGGCAGCATTGGATGCTGCATAGATAAGGGGGTCCACAAATCGAAGGAACTAAGATATCGCACGTGTAACTCCGTATCATCATAAATTTAGATGGCGACATGTCTGATTTAAAGAATCTGCAAACAACCCTGAAATTTTTCACTCATGTAATAACCAGGGACATATGTTTGTCTTAAAGAACTTTATACTCCAAATTTCAATTTTTTTTAAATGATAATAATAATATCAACCAATCGAATTATGGACAATTTGGTCCATGATAGGTGCTAATGAGAGAGGGGGGGGGGGGGCGGGGGCAAAGATCCTCCAAGAGATCTGCTCAAGTGTTATCGTAGTCGAAGAGTATCTATTTCAAAGGACCCACAGTGTCTGGTATCATTAGCTCAGCAACCGGGAATTAGATGGATCAACAAGATACGGTTCACGAGCTCATGGACCCCCCTTGCATTGCATGTGGTTTCCCCTGCACATTAGTTATTTAAGTTATAAAACAAAACCATCTCATTTAATTATCACTCAAACAATGTCGTCGAAAACGACTCTTTGATTATCAAGTTTTATATAGATTTATATTTTCGTATTCATTCACTTAAATTAACATTAACGTACCATGCTAGAAACATCCTCCTTTGCCGTTTCTCTCTTTTTAGTTAAAATCGAAAATTTGAATTCATTTTATTTTTATAATATTATTAGAGTAAAGAGATCAAATACTAAATTTTAAGACAGTGGAGGGACTAAAACCATTATTTGACCTTATTTTAATATTAATTTTTATTTTAGTACTAAGAAACCATGACGTCTTCTTCACCTTATATAAATAAGCTTATTCCATGGAGCTCCCTTGCCTCTCACCCCTAGAAGCTACCCCTCTTTCTTCCTCTTCACTTGCCACTTCCATAAAGTTTTCATTCTCTTTCTTTTCTTTTTGATTTCACGTAAAAGCTTGTTTTCTATTTTTTGCTGCAATGGCGGCATCTTCGACCATTTCATGTTCTGATTTGGACCCTAACTCCACGCAGAGAAAGCAAAATTCGCCATTAGAACGAAGTCCCCGATTGCTAAAAGATTTCCTCCACGATGATTCCAACTCCTGTTCCTCAAATGGGTTCAAATCATTTCCCAGAAAATCTTCCCAGAATTATGGTGTTTCCCGAGAAAATCTAAACCATGGACAAAGTTTTCAAAGAAGCCGATCAAAAGCTGCCTCCACAACAATGTCAGCATTCCAGGCAATGATCAACGCCATTAAAAGCATCCATTTCTCTTCATCGGTTAAACCTCCTTCGATCTTACTGCCAAGAAGCCTTTCACGTAGATTGTCGAGAAGGAACTCACAATCACAGCTCAACGACGTCGAGGACAAAGTTACCGTGACAGTCAAAGGCATCATACGCTGGAAATCATTCCGTGATTTAGTAAAGGAAAACCCTCGGCCTTCGGATTTTGCTTCTTCTTCTTCTTCTTCCCCTCATCATTGCACCTCCGCCACCACCAGCACCACCTCCACAACGACGGAATCCAACACTCCTTGTAGCAGCAGCAATGGCTCAAGTTGGTGCGACAGCGATTTGACCTCGGAATATTCACCGTCCGATGAATACGGTGAAAACGAAGTTGACATGGTGGGTAAAAAATTCTTACCGTGTGTCGGCAAGGATCCCATGAAGACGAAAACAACAACAAAGACAGAAGCCAACACAGATATGCGACCTAAAGTAAGTAAAATCTTAATAAAATCTTCATGTGTCTGCTGATGAGGGTCCTTGGATGCCTTACATTTACGTTACCAGCCAGTGTTTATGTTGTCGTTTAGTTAAATCCAATTGACTTTTTTGTTTCATCCGCTGTTTTGTTTAATCCTTCCCATTTGTCCGTTTCCGAAGACAAATAATACAAAAGATAAGCCATTAGAGTTGATATTAACACTTTAAGTTGCAACATGGAAGCTTCTTGGTGATTGAATAATCTCCATTTTTTTTGTCGAACTTTCAGTATGCAAGTGAAGAGACAGAACAGCAGCACAGTCCAGTGTCGGTGCTTGATTTCGAATATAGTGAAGAAAAGGCATGGCAGCTGGTGAATCGTGTCAAAGAAACAATTCCATCAACGAGCAATGAAAGCAATATTTGTGTTGATAAACTGCTTCTGGATCTGTTTAGAGAAGAAAATGAAAATGAAGAGCTGGAATATTGTAAAACGGTGAAGTTGGTAAAAGCATGGATCGATGGAGAACAGAAGGAGACGACAAAAAGGGAGGGTTGTGCTATGGAAATGGAAAGGGAGGGAAGGTGGAGGAATTGCAAGTTTCAGGGAGAAGAAGAAGAGTTGGCAATTGGAGTTGAGAGATGGGTGATGAATATTTTGGTGGATGAACTTTTAGTTGATCTCATATGACAGAAGAAGAAGGACGGAAACGTGTCAATCGACATGAAAGCCTGTGGAATGCCCGGAGATACCAGTTGGCAAGAACCAGGGATCGATCCTCTATTCTTGTTTGTATCGAGAGTATTAAACTACGATGATAACATAATGCGACAATTATGTCGCAATGCTTTTCAAGATCATAACCACAACAATGTTTTCTTTCTTTGTTGTCCTTTCACTTCTAGGATTATGTATTCACTAATTCGGATAGTTACACAGTTAATTTTAGTATATGAGTTTTTCAACTGAAATTTTATATATTCATAAAAAATTGAACTCAATACTTTACTTAAATAATATCAAATTGGTTATGTCATAACCATTTTTTATAAAAACAATTAAATATTATTTTAAAAAACAATTATGACTTTAAATTGAAAAAAATGAGTGATTTTGAATTGATTTGAATTAAATTAAAAATGGAGTCGCCATCGACCTTTGGGTTAGGTAGGTCGAATACCTAAAAACGTCTTTTAAAACAATTTTAAGAAAAAATCATTTTTTAGACAAAATTCGGTATGCGTTACCAAAGATTCATTTAAATGGATTCGGAAGTCGGTTACGCGTGGGGAAGAATTAGCACCCCACAGCGCCCAAAATTGGTACTGTGTCGCTTACACATTGTCATAATGGTGGAAATTACAAATCGAATATAAAGTTAATTTATGATCCATTTATCGAACATTAATTAATTTGCTTCGAATTATTTAATTAAAGAAAATTCTTTAACTCGAAAGGAAATCTTGAAATTAGCAATCCTCCATCGGGAAAACTAACTCGAACTATTTCTCATTCGTAAAAGAATATTCTACCATTGATTATGTTAAAAATACAAATCGAGTATAATCAAAAACAATGTTTACATACGAATAAATTGATTAACTGAAAACGTGAATTGAATACAAATTAAAAATTTTGAAATTTACATTCACATAAAATAAAGTAAATTGTCATTTAAAATAACACACATTGCATCGTTTGAATAAATTAATTAGTAAAATATACTCGACTTGTTGCAAGTTCCTATGTCGTTAAAATGCCGTATCGGATCGTACCACTTCGACCAAGTGGTACTTTCCACGCCCATTCTACGCATACGTGTTCTTGAAAATATAATCGAATATTTCTTACATAGATAAAGATATAATGAAAAAATGTAATTGGAAATACAAAATAAAATATTTACATTAAATGAAATTGAAAACATTATTTACATAATCCAAATAATTAACTAATGAGTAAATACACATCCATACATAAATGTCTAAAAATAAATTAGTAAATATTACAAACCAAAATAAATATAAAACATTTAAGGGGCTAAAATAATATAAACAGAAACTTAGGAGGCTAAACAGTAAAAAAACAGAAAGTCAATGGACCAAAATAGCACTAACCGAAATTTAAAGGACTAAATATAAAATAAAAATAATTTAGAGCCTATATCACAAACATTAAACAGTCAAATACTAGAAGTGAAAATAACCCAAAAGTAAAGCTTATGACTAAATTGAAATTTCACAGAAACATGGAGGATCAAAAAGTAATTAAATAAAATGTCAGATAGTGACCAAAATAGAACATTTGCCAATATGATGGCTGAATTCAAACATCCACAAAATGTCACAACACAAGAACTTAGGACTAGAATGAAACTATTACAAACATAATGTCCAAAAGTCAAATATTCACAAAAATGACATAACATACATTAATAGGACTAAAATAAAATATTTAAAAATGGGATGGCCAGATTCGAATATCAAAGAAACATACATGAAATATTAAATCAGTGGCTAAGATGTAACATTTATAAATATTGAAACCAGAACCAAATATAAACCAAAAAATGTTATAATACCTAGGATAGTGACTAAAATGTAAGATACATAAATATCATATACAAATTCGAACGTTCACAAAAATAAGCAACACACAAAAACCCGTGACTAAATTGAAATAATTATAAATATTGGGACCAAAGTCACATATAACCAGAATAGCATAACAAGTAATAGCAGGACTAAAATGTAAGGAAGGAAAAATAAAGGCTCGAAATCAAATAATATATAACTTCATTATATGGCTTAATAATTATATTACAAAGCGCGGGGGACTAAACGTGTAGTTAATCCACACGCTGATAACACGCACCCTGGCCCCTCTAAACGACGTCGTTTTGAACAGTGCCAAAACGGCACCGTTCTGGCCCGCGTACTTAAGCCCAAAACGAGGCTTCAACCCTCATCTCCCTCATTTGCCTCTCTATTCAGCCAAAACAGAGAAGGGAGAGATTTGAAATCTCTCAACCCCTCCTCGCCGGGGAGGGGAAACATGGCGGAGCTCGCGGTGGCGAGCGGCAGCGCACGGCGGCGCCGGTGACCGGAGGGAGTCAAAGTGACCCCCAAAATGATCATCTCCTCTCCCTATACTAGAAAAAAACGCCTTACTCGACCTAAAACCAACCCTAAATCCCTAGATCTAGGTAGTTACCTTCGAAGGAAACAAAAAGCACGGTGACCTTCAAGCTTCCACGGCCTCAAACCACGGTGAGATACCTCTCTCTCTATTTTTATTTCATTTTTGTTGTAGTTTCGAATAGGTCTTGATTTTTTTTCAAACCGATTCTTTCCTTTTTTTTTCACCCCCCGAATGACCCCCCCTTCATTGCATGTATCCCTTCTTTTTGTTGTGGTTGCTGAATGATGATGTCTAGAACTTAGGGGAATTATGGGTTGATTTGGTAGCTGGTGAAATCCTGAACTTTCGGGATTTAATTTGTTTTTAAATGGGTTCACTGTTGATGATATATATATTTTTGATTGGTTTTGCTGTTCTTCACTGTTAATAGATTGATGGAGGGACCTTCGGTCACTGTGGATGCAGGCAGCCGGCGTCAGAGGCTGTCGGCGAGGGGACGCTCGGCTGAGAAGCTGGAACGTCAAGCGGCGGCTGGAGCTATTTTAGGGTTTCAAACCCTAAGCTCTGCGTGATCTGGACCGTTGGATGGGTCCAGATCCAACGGCCAGAAATGAGGCAGCTGGAACATTTAGGGTTTGAAACCCTAATCTGTTTTAGGGTTTGAAACCCTAATCTGATGGGTTGGGTTGTCTGGGTCAACAGTGGGCTTGATGTAATGGGTTAGCTGATAGTGGGCTTGCATTATATTGGGCTTTGGCCTGCAAAAATTGTAATATGTAATTAATAAACATAATAAAAAATAATAATAATAATAATAAAATAACGATAAAAAACCCGGACAAAAACGGGTGTCTACAGCTGCCCCTCTTTGCACATTCTTGTGTTAACAAGAATAGGGCAAAGATGATAAGACAACACGTTTTTGTCTGGTTCTCTTCCATTTATACATAGAAATTGGATAATATTGGTTGTTGGGGACGACACTGCTCATACGTGATGAAGAGTTTGGGTCGTCTAAAGGTGACACGGCTCCTACGTGATGAGGAGATCTGGTCTGGGGATGACACGGCTCATACGTGATGAAGAGTTCTGGCCATCTAAAGGTGATAACATGGTTCCTACGTGACGAGGACGGCTGGTTATCTATGGTTGACACGGCTCCTACGTGATGAGGAGATCTGGTCTGGGGATGACACGGCTCATACGTGATGAAGAGTTCTGGCCATCTAAAGGTGATAACACGGTTCCTACGTGACGAGGATGGCTGGTTATCTCTAGGATAATGGTTTCAAAGGAGACCAACTCAAAGATGTGTTTCAATAGAAACAAACTCAAAGATTGGATTTTGATAAAAATTGTCTCAAGGGAGACGAAATTCGTTTCAAGAGAAACGATCTCAAAGATATTTGCTTTATTTCAAGTGAAATAAACTCAAAGATAAGTTTTTCCAAAGCAACTGTCTCGAAAGAGACAAAATTCGTTTCAAAGGAAACAACCCAAAGACGGCGTTTAAAGGGAATTGTCTCAACCGAGACAAAATTTGTTTTTTAAGGGAAACGTTCTCAAAGATCGGTGTTTCATGAGAAATTGGCTCAAATGAGACAAAATTCATTTCAAGAGAAACGATCTCAAAGATGTTTATTTTGTTTCAAGGGAAACAGATTCAAAGATGGTAAATTTTGTTTCCAAAGAAATAAACTCAAAGATTTTTCTCAAAGACTGTCTCGAGAGACACAAAATTTTGTTTCCAAAGAAAGAGATTCAATGATTTTTTATTTTTTTTTTTTTTGAAAAGACATTGTCATAAGAGACAAAACTTTGTTTTTCAGAAAATTGTATCTTAGTGAGACAAAATTTTGTTTCCAAAGAAACAGACTCAGATTTTTCTTCAAAAGAAACTGTTTTAAGGGATAAAACCTTGTTTCCAGAGAAACAAACTCAAAGATGATCTTGTTTTAAGAGAAAATGTTTCAAGAGACAAAATTCGTTTGAAGGGAAACGACTCAAAGATGTCATTGAAAGGAAACTGTCTCATGCGAGACAAAATTTGTTTTAATAGAAACGATATCAAATGTGGGTATTTTCAAAAGAAGTTGTCTAAACGATCTCAAAGGTGGGTATTTTCAAAAGAAGTTGTCTCGAGAGACAAAATTTTGTTTCAAAGGAAACAAACTCAGAGATTTTTTTCTCAAAAGAAATTGTCTTTAAGAGAGACAAAATTTTGTTTCCAAAGAAACAAACTCAAAGATTTTTGTTTCAAAAGAAATTATCTTAAGAGAGACAAAATTTTGTTTCCAAAGAAACAAACTCAAAGATTTTTGTTTCAAAAGAAACTATCTTAAGAGAGACAAAATTTTGTTTCCAAAGAAACAAACTCAAAGATTTTTGTTTCAAAAGAAATTATCTTAAAAGAGACAAAATTTTGTTTCCAAAGAAACAAACTCAAAGATTTTTGTTTCAAAAGAAACAATCTCAAAGATTTTTTCACAAAATTTTCTCAAGAGAGACAAAACTTTGCTTCAAAGTAAATAGACTCAAAGATTTTTTTAAACAAAACAACTCACAGATTTTTATTCCAAAGGAACAAACTCCAAGATTTTTATTCAAAAGGAACAAACTCAAAGATTTTTTCAAGAGGAACAAACTCAAAGATTTTTTCAA